TTGTGTCAATCAACTGATCCCCCCTCGAACGCTAGAAACATGCCGGAAAATTTTGGTCAGTCGCAGATGGTTGCGGAATTTCTGGAGTTCATATCTCTCACTTCTGAACACAGCCCTCTATTCTTCAACATTTTTATCTAAACCAGGGTTTACTCATTTTAGAAGCTGCAGAGGGTCAGGTAAATATAATTAAATCTTCTGAATTCGATTGCGGAGCGTTTGACTGTTTTAAACAGTTTTGTTATCTATAGAAGTAATAACCGGCTTTGTGCACACGCATGGTGTGATGGTCGATAATAATATCTCATCTAACTCTGTCATTCCTAACAGGTTGAAACCTGTCCTGAAGAACTTAGCTTGAAGCTCTGTTCATCCTTATTCTTCCTTAACAAGTGTATACCGAGATATTCATTAGATATTGCCCTCAGATACTGTTTCATTCAGAACAAGACGATAGCGAAGTCCGAAGTGTAAATTCTAAGTTGTATCAATGCTGTTTTCGATCGATCCACGAAAATGTGTATTTAGCTAACTGTCTGAGGTTTGCTCGGGTAACCAATAAAATGATTTATTACATCCATACTTGAATGAAAATATCCTGCCTTTGTGTTAGCTTTGAAAAAGTACAGCAGTACAGTACAGTACAGTATATAATGCAGAGCTACGCTCACGCTCTGAGTAAAGAAGTGCTCGCTTGGATTATTGGAGATAAATATACTTTCAGGAATGAAAAGTTTAGTGGTGAGGACTAAGTCAATAGCCCTCTGAATGATAGCAAAGCAGCGATCAATCCGCCTAGACATTTCAACTCAGATTTATTTCTCTGTAATGAGTATCATACTGCCAAGAAGTGTTGAATTTTTTTACTACCTCGTTTCATCCCAGGAAGTCATTGACATATTGAAAACCTGCCATCTGTATATCGTGTTCATTATTCACACAGCTATCAGACATGAGTAAACATGTGTGGAAAGTGGAAAGAGAGTTACCGTGGTTTCCATCGATTGGATTTTGAAGTGTTAGGTTATATTTGTCTTACAGGCTGGTGAAAAGGTCGTTACTTTTAAGAAAGAGCCCTGCTGAACAAGATNCTTCTAGGAATGTGGAGGACGGAAAGCTAGTTAGCTCGAGGTTATGAGTGAATGACCACAGCTCCTGAGGTGCTTGAAAGAAGACCAGTGTAGTCTACAATTTACTACTGATGTATAATCCAAACATACTTTGAGAGAAAAGGCGAGTAAAACGCCTGGAGTATTCAGACAGATTCGTTCTCATTGGTTGTAGCTTTTGAATTCCTTTGAACAGATCCAAATGGCCCGGAAAGTTTCCAGCGCCATGGCTATTACTAGTGGCCTCAGGAGATAACGGGGTCAGTGGGTTGATTAACTCGATGAGTGAAACAAATTGATCTGAACGGAAAGCACTAACAGGAGCAGCAATACACAAACATGTGCGGAAGAAGTGTATGGATATTTTATTTTCCTCGAACTACCAATTCCCGTACCGATTACAATAAGTACCAAACATTAGGCAACGCGACAGTCCTTACTATTTTAAAAGAACGCTATGTATATGGGTCCTGTCTAATCCAACCAAATAGCATGAAACAATTCCTTCCATTCAGGAAACCCAATATTTTTGTAGGATATTTAGTTTATCAAAGGCAGGAGGCACATTTGGATGCTAGGCCTCTGTGAGTAGGAATAGATTTCACGCCAAAAGAATCTCACCACAGAAACTGTCTTTGTTCACTATCTCCAAAATATACAACAAATAAATCCGGAGTCAGGGGAATCACCGTTAGCACCTAAAAATGAGCAGCACTCAGGCCCTACAGCTAAATTTGCACATTTTAACTAAGCTTATAGTACAGTCTGCAAAAAAACGGTCTTGAGTATAAAACTGAACCTCTGTACAGAACCAAGTTAAGAAAGTCCGTGTTCGAAGGATTTTTAGAAATAGTTAGTCCTCTTACTGTTGTTTGGATACACAAAATCTTCAAAAATACCATTCTGATGAGCTCGCACAAAGCGAAAATACGTTTAAATTTGCTTTTATCCTTACTAAAGTTCACAAGCAGGGCACGCGCATGATTACGCCGGGACACGAAGTCCGTACCTTTGGCGCGCTAAACGCGGTGGGATTATCAAATTCGGTCAGACGTCAATAGGAAACCACTCAACAGCGGCTTTAAAAAAAATGGAAAGAGGGGTAGGGGATTAAAACTCAAATGAATCTCACAGCTACTCACAGTGTAATCAAATAATTGACCGGTAACTTTGAAGTAGCAGTAGTGCTAAGTGGCAGGGAGCTCTGACTGGTAGGCAGACCTAAACCGTTACTCGGTTGTCGTCCGAAGTATCATACAAATCAGTCTCGTCGCTCAAGCGTAAATATGTTAAGCTGTTTTAATGTCCGGGTGAGTCTGTGGAGTAGTGACGTTACTCAATTTTTATTCTGCAAAATCCTTCATCTTTATAAATTAAGCAGATCATCACTAAAACGCCTGTAATATTGAGATAACCTTCTGCGCGTGTTTCTGTACTTCAGGTTTTAGAACCCCTGGAGAACAGTTTCCAATCGTACGTTTCTACACGTACACTTGAGATCAGGACTACGCGAATGTTCACTTCACATATAATTGTATACACTGATCAAAATATGAAGCGAAAATCTAGAAAGCGGTGAGTCTGATTGGTCTGTACGACAAAACCTTCACTTGACTTTGTTAATCAAGAAAAAATATTTTGTCATACTGGAGTGGACTGGAGCCCCACAATGAAGTCATGCGAATCATTAAAATTTCCATTTTTGGAACAATGATAAAAAGGTCTAAATTCGAGGATGTGACTTTTCACTTATACGTACTTATTTGATGGCAGGGAAGACATTATCTTCTAGCATTTTTCAGTTTGCCTTTCTGCGATACTTTACTGGATTACCGGAAAATCTTGGATAGACCTATGACAAATTCACCCTCTTAAGGTTCATTCAGCTTCGAATTTTTGTCAGTCTTTTCCTACTTGAACGCCGAATTCTAAACAAATGGAACTAGATACAAATTTGTCTGATTAGCCCTAAAAGTCAAAACCGGCAGTAAGCTGTTAGAGTTTCCAGCAACTTTAAATAAATGTGTGGTCAAGAAAGATATGTTGCCACATTGACTATCTTTCCAAATAAAACATGAGACAAATTTGGTCGGGTAAATTCCATAAAGGATACACATAGTCGAGACATTTAGCTGATGGTCTGTTGAGTTATTTGCTAAATCCGAATTTATTTGCAACTGGAATGCGCAATTCCTTCCAACGTTATGCTATCCTTCGTGAACGCAGATTTTTCATTTTCTGCTACCGAAAACGCTCACGTGAAACATTCAAGGTTGGGACAGAATTGGCATGCATCAATTTTGGATGGATGAACAGAGGTAGAAGACGTTATGATCGATTTGTCTGTGGTCAAGACCCACTCTGGGGCAAGACAAACGCCGTCCTCATAAGGGCAGCAGACGAAACGTTGAATGCAGACATGTGTTTCTCTGTTGACTGCAATGATCGTTTTACGTTGGGTTCATCGGCCATGCAATGAAATGCGATTAAAAGAACATCTACCGATTATAGGAGACAAAAAGGCATTAGTTAAACCCCGCAGTATTTAGTGGTCACAAATCACAGTGGTGAGCTGGAAAGCGCTCCACGCACGCCTAAGTAAATGAGTGTGTTCCTATCGTAAGGTCACATTAGATGCAGTTACCAGCGGCCTTCCTGATGCACGCATGTGCGAATTGATACAAACATCCACCGTCTTCAGTGGCTCTGAATTAGAATTTTTAAAACTAAAGGTAGCACAGAACACTTTTTTGCTGAACAGCATCCAGTTGCTTAACTTTCTTCATGTTCAGCGGGTACACTTTGATTTCTCCGCATCACTGTTTTGGTTAAGCAGTTTGTTAGCTTCGCATATTTTGTTGTTTGTATAGTTTTTCCTCAAACAATTCTGCAGTAATTTATTCATAAATAGTTTTAAATGTGACTCTCTTCTTTATATCAACAACAACTGGAATGTCTGCAAAACTTCTAATAAATAGAATTCACTACGTAGGAAAATCAGATAACTTTTCCGTCCTGACATCAGCTCTCATACACATCCAACCTTTCAGTTCTTCGTAGGCCACTTGCAGTCGGAGAGGAACTTATACACGAACCATCGGTTTCGTCTCGTCCATAGTTTGCTCAGCCGCTTAAAGGCAATAGCTATTATCTCTACGGCATACAACTGCTGAATGCACATTGTGATCAACCAAGTGGGTTTATTTACTACACTTCCCAAGTTCAATGAGAAACACTCCGAAGCGTCTTTTGGCAGTTTCGGAGTGCATTGCCCTCCAAATCATACACAGAATTGGGCCATTTGTTGATTCTTCAAGTAAAAAATAGCCGTTACTCGGCACGCCGCCGTTCAAAACTGTATCCGAAATTTTTAATCAACCAAAACCAGATCATTAGCTTCGGAATTTAATCATTGCGACCTTTTTACTTGCAATAATTATTAGTGCAGTAGTGCTATTAACAGAACATCAAGAAAGCAAGTAACTGGACCGATCCAGATTTTATAAGAATGAACTTTTTCATTATGGGATTTGACCTTTCTATTTTACTTATTCTCCTCAAAATTGCGTAATTAAAACGACTTTGATTCCGGTGCGATATCTGATGCATTGAAATTGAGAGATAGAGTCTTATGATAAAGCTAACTCTTTGGCTTAACGCCTATGTGGGTTTAGTTCAAAACGATACTATCCGTTATTCTAATCAATTTTAAGCAACGTGCACCGTTGATGGGTTCGCTTTTATCTTACTGCCGTTCGGATTCCTAAAACGCGTGACCATGAGCATTGTTCTTCTCGTAGAGAAAATTATTCCAAGCAGGCAAACAAGTGAACCAAAACTTTTGCACACAGACAAGTAGCCAACAGCTTATTCGGAATGTAATCCACTTACATAGATATTGTCTCATTCCGGTTAATGCAATTAATATGAGCAGAATGAGCCCTGTAATTTGATAATTGAGTCGGTCAATTTGGTCATCATCACCAGCCAGCCGTGAAGAACCTATCCGTGCCCATCGGACGAGACTGAGAATGAATGTCGGGTCACTACTCAGTTTGCCTCGATGTCGTCCGAAGTTATGCCCCACCGTCGGTGAGTGGTCAATTGGGGAACTTGGGAATGTGCCTTCATACTCGTAAAAATATGGTGTACCATGCAACAGCGAACGGTCGTTCATTTCCGGATATCGGATCGTGCGCTCCTGTTTTAGCGCTTCCGTTGCAAACTGGTGTTCAAGTATCTGTTCCTCGGTGGACCATTGACACCCTGAAGAGGAGTGCCCCGGAGTCGGTAGTGCATCATCATTGTGCACATGATATTCGCCAGGGCAGTGTTGTTCACAATAATATGCGAGTTTGGTTTCGTTTGTGGGACTGTCAGGGGTTTCCAAGTCATTCTGATTGTTGATCAAACAAGATGTCGATGGCATCAAATTTGAAGCCATCCTCCCATTACGAAGCACGATCCATGGATTTCAATCTAAAATTGTAGAATGAAAGAAACAACCATTATAATACAGGCATTGCTATAACCAATCAAACAACAGTAACAACTGCAAGCCGGATTCATTGAAATGTAATTTAAATGATAACCGAAGCTAGTGTACAGAAAGTTTCTACTATGGTTGTTTAGATACTAGTTAAAAGATTATTATGGCTACCATCCAAGAAAGGAGCTGATTTGCTACATTTATAGTGTTGTCTGCTCCACGGATGGAAAACAAAACAGAGTAGAATCTTGCTCTAACACTTCATTTAGCGTCTAGTATTTTCCACTTCTCCTCCATGTACCTCTGGTGACCTAGACGGCAGCCCGCAAAATCTTGGACTAAGAATTTCAGGACATACCGTGCAAACGCAAATACCCGGAAATGGACCCACAACATCGATCTGTTGTCTGGTGCACAATTGACACACCATCCAAATCCAAAAAGAAATTCAGTATTGCCCTCATGCGCTGGTAACTAACTCGTTTTTTTCATCGATGAAAGTTTTTCTCAGTAGTTCATTAAATCCGGGAAGTCGTATGTCAGCGTCACTTGATTTTAATCCCGGGTCGCTGCCTTTACGTGTTCTTTCATCCTTCAAAAGCGTTTTGCACGACGAGACATCAGAAATACCATTGTACCGATAAAAAAGGAGTTCTTCATTCCTATTGTATGACCATTGATGACTATTGTTTCACTATGTATTTCTATGTATTCTACTGTCTGTGGTAACCATTTCTTTTGATTCACCAGGCAACAATAAAAACTAGCTAGTAGTACCTCGTAAAAAGGTTCTTTTGAGGTAGTCCTTACAAGGGATCAGTCGCCCAACAATAATCCACCGGCCTTAAACTGTTTTTGGATTCAGGAAACAGGACTCAGGTGGTACGTCAATTTATGCTAAATAAGGATCAAAATCCATATGTGACAAAATCAAGGACATGAATTTGGACGGGTGTTTTGGATAAACGTATTCAAATCCTGAAGGATTTTATATTCCATTATTGTTCAAACTGATTGGGCGGTTATATCGTACTAAGATACCTGATGCATGGGTCTCTCGGCGGTGCTTGATGCAAAGGGTATGCTTAACCTCTGAGTAGCAGTCACTAAAAAAACATCCGCGTAACAGATTTTACGGTATCCGGCCACGTTCTAAGCGTCAGATACAATGCACAGAATGCTTGTTTGCCATGGAAAATAGAATCAAACCTGGTGGAAAGTTCATATTGTTAAGTAAGGTAAAGTCCAGCTGAACAGTGACGACCACCTGTTTTTGGGTTAGTTACTTAAATATGCAGCAGGTGCAACTCTGGGGTGATCGTTGGGTTTCCGTGAAATATGACAATTTAGATAAGGCCTATTGTTTGGATGGAATCTGAAATAAACGAGCTGTGATGTCCTATGAAGACTAAGCTATAAAATTGCTTTATATAAAAATTCAGGAAGACGCGTTTGATCAAATTGTAGAAATTAAGTTGTTAACGCTCGATATTCTTCGACATGCATTGCAATTCTGACAGACACATTGTAATTAACTTATTTTTGGACATCAGCAACGCCAAATAATTAATCGCTAACCTCACACTTAATGAATTTACGGTATTATTTACTATTCTATTATGCAAAACGAATTACGGTTTAGCTAAGCTTTTATAATGAATATCCAGGTTTTAATCAGTGGGGAAATTTGGAGGTTGATTGATGTGGCCGCAGGAAACGTCTACTTGGATCCATTTTGCCAATAAATTTGTGGATCACGTAGAACAAAATTGATAAATTATCTGGGGACTTGCCACCTCTAGAAGCTTCGTTGATGACAAATTACATGAACAGATAATGACCACGTGTAAATCTGATCAATTGCTGGATAACATCTACACTTCATTTGGGTGAACGGTGAAAATGGAGAGAACTGAACGGATCCTTTTTCCGAATATGGTGCTCATCTTTCAAATCGGTGGGTCTTTATCAAGATGTATCCTAAGAAAGCTAGTATGAAGTAGGCGTTATTTATATTTTAAAAGCTTTGTGCAAAATGTGCTCTTGCTAAGACACTTTTAGCAGATCGCATCGCAGTCCCAGTCCAGATGCAGCAAAACAAGAGATGCAAATACTCAAGGGGAAATCGATAAAAACTGCTATCCACCGAAATTCACGGGCAAATAGTGTGAAACTCAAGGAGAACGCAAGGTTACGCGATACGTATGAACGATACGAGTATGCTTCTTTTTATCATCAAAGGGAGTTATCATATAATTTCTTACAGAATAAAAAAGCCGCGGGTTTCCCTGATCTACTAGATCCAAAGTGATCCAACGAATCGACAGTTTATGCTGATCCAAATAGGGCAGCCGTACAAACGGGAATCTGAAGCGTTCCGAAAGTAACTCCAGAAATTCGGATCTTGGAGCCGATATTTTACTATAGCCAGACACAATTTACATGCTAAATATGTCATTAACCTAGTGACTGATTCTAAGAACCCTTTGTGTACCGAGGTACAGGTACAAGCTTTCATAATGCGTCGTTCTTACCCTTTTTCGTGTGCTTAAAAGTAGCTTGTGACTAATGCTGCACTGGGGACAGTAGATCAGAGCAATGCATTTTATAGCCAAGCAATTTTATGGCGGTACTCTTTTACCGCTATCTGTATTACCCCAATTTACGTTTTTGCTTCATTATCTAGCATTGTGGTCTTGCTTCCGGTCGATTTTCGTTTGCTTATCCTTAACTGCTTTGCCACATATATCCTGATTGTTTTAACCAATTAGGCCAACTTTTTCTCTCACGCGAAATGAATTATTCAGTCTCTGTGAGTTCTACCCTGCCACTAACGTGATGTTAGATGGGACATAAAAGTAGTAAACGCTGAGGTTCATCAAAATTTATATGCACAAAACATGCGTTCTAAGTGCCTCTGATTATTTTTCAAAGTAACACCTACTGGTGTGAATGAGTATGGTTGAAATAACAGGAATTTCAAAGTAAGTGTTACTTAGTTTGTCAAGGAAGAATAAATGAGCAATAAAGGACTGGTAAGGAAATTTTCACCAGTCATTTGTTGTTGGAAAACAGTATTTGCTGCCAGCTGGTGTAAGAATCATAGAAGACCCTCGTCCTGGTTGAATGTGCTGGGATGTCTTAATCAGGCCTGAAGTCAAGCAGCCGTGTGTAAATATTCAAAGAAGTCCGGGAAGTCCTTGGTAAGGGAAAGAGCGGGTTGCTTCTGCGACATCTTGAGGTCAGAGGGAAATCAAGAAGCGATTTCTATCCCGAAGTATACGACAATTCCGGATGGTCTCCGGCAGGAGCTAACTAGTCGATATTACACGTGCTGACTGGGATGCACATTTATGGGGACAACTGTTCCGACTATTTTTTATACCTGAGTAGTCACAAGGGTTTAGAGTTTGTTTACGCACACAACTTGGTCAAACAAACTTGTGTCTGTTTCTAGTTAGTCCACACTGGGAGGGACTATAAATTTGCTCTTATTTGTGCCCACCATTAATCCAGTCATTCATTCGAACCGGTATTTTATCCTGGAACCCCATATGTGAGGTGAGTGTGTTCCTGTTACTACACCAGTGCACCATAAGTGAGCCTGAACTATCACATCTGATTAGACAAATATTTTCAGGGATACTAGAAGGTAGCCCATTGCTCCAGATTACGATTTTGAAACTCTTACTTGCGCGCTTCCCACCTTTGGTATGACTCAAATAATTGCGCCACTATGGGAGAAGAGGTATTTTGAGTAGGTGAGATAGGTAGGAAAACTTAGCTCCTTTTTGATTGACTCAACCGGCCAAGTTGATTGGTGTAACCCGTTCAGTTAGGTTAAGTAAGGTAGACCGCGACGAAGACCCCTCCCGTTGGTTTAAAAGTTAGTTACTACGACCAGAGTTACTGTACTTCAAATGCAGACTAGGTATTTTGCTTGGAGGTATGTCAGGTAGTTCCTGTCAGGGATGAGCCTAAACTGCAATAGAAAAGAACTTTTATGAAAGTTGTCCTCATCATGTCACAGAGTACTCTGAGAAAACTAATTTGCCGTTTGCCGTCTGCAATGATGTGACAAAAGGCCTTGGGCGCGTTCCATATAACTGTTTCTTACTCGGCGTCTTCCCAGAATTGTGAGTTGGGGCCCCTTTAATGTAGTTAAAACATGGTTTCTGACCTCTGAGACACATTAGACTTAAGTATTCCCATGAAGATCTGTGGAAAATTTATGTTATTGCTATACTCTGAACATTCCCTTAGTTATTCATGAATCTACTTTTCTTACAAAATAAAAAACAAACTTCAAAACAAAACAATTATGCGAAATACACCGTGAGTTTTCTTAGTGTTTCCGGTAACATAATAAGTTTCAGTGCTGTGATGCACAAAAGTGCAAAAATTCTAATTGTAAACAAAATAAACAAACGGCACTGCACCTTACCTGACAAAAAACATTTGAATTATTTGTTCCAATGAATCTGTGTACTGAAATACGAAGTGAACCTCTTTCTGTGTATTGATGAGAGATGGTGCATCAGTGTAGGCATGCTAGAAGGAAGATAGCTTAAATTTCTCGGCATGTGCAGCATATTCTGACTATGAGTAATAAATGCTATTTCTGGTGAGATATGTGGCATATACATTCTTGAAGCTTGTCCGAAGTAGGAGGTCTAGTAAGAAGACTAGATTGTCCAAGATAAACAATACAGCCGATGTGGCAGTAATAATTTTTAAACAGGCATTCCGACAAAAATTCTGTGCATTCTCTACACTCAAGAGATACAAAAGTACTGACAAAAATTCGTTTTCTTTAGACAAACGCCAGTCAGAACAGTATGCGACCAGGTGAAAAGGACAACACCGTGGACATGAATGGGGATGTGGGAGACTTTGACAAAGTTACGTTCAGTTCGAGGAGCGTTTACCTGGAGGTAGTTAGTAAACTGCCTTCAATGATAACAGCTATAACGTCTTAAATAGAGTTTTC